TGGCACGAAAAGTCTCAAACATTTATAGATGTCCATGGAGTTTTTTTGTCATTGACTGAACCTGCCATATGTGTTTTTGAGTATGATATTCAATATGTGCCTGTTGTCTTAATGCATTTGTCAATAAAAAACAAAAAATAACTGATACTATATTGCGAAACATTGATAGGGGAGAAAAGTACAATAGAAACCCATAATGAAGACCCCTATAGCTTCACATAATGGGAATGAAACTGTAACACCCCCCAAAATGTGTGAGAAAACATGAGCACAAACTATAAACAATGCGGGGTACGTACTCAAAATAGTGTGCTCAAAACGCAAAAAATCACACACAGGCCATTTTGCAGGCCTGTGTCCTTCAGGCCAAAAGCCTGAACTTCAGGCCGAAAGCCTGAAATCCAGGGCTTACAGGCCCCATGTCGGTTCAGCCCGAAAGCCTGAATTCCAGGGCCTATCCCTGTGTCGTTTCAGACTAAAAATGGCAACAACCTTTTTAGCCTGAAACCATGGGCCATTTTCAGTCGTTCATCAGAACGACCGGCCCTGAAACTCAGGCACCGAACCAGGGTTTCGGGACCAGACTATTATTAGTCTGTTTCCCACGCCAGCCCCTGGCACACTACGGCATTGGCAAGAGCTGCCTCCTCGGCCTGACTCGCCCTCCAGTAGTCAGGAGGAAGGCCGAGGTAGTACATAGGACTTCCCAGGCACTTTCGAGGTAGGCAGTCGGCAGTTGTAGTCTTCAGGATTCGGGAGCAACACTCTGGAGGGAGCGCTGCAGTGTAGTAGTAGTAGCGTTAGCTTGTAGTCTTCAGCGCTGGGCGCAGTAGGTAGTTGTAGTCTCCAGCGCTGGGCGCCATAGCTAGGTAGTACTAGAGAGAGAGAGAGAGCTTGGGCGGAGGCCAGAGGTACCTACCTGCAGCGCCGTCGCTCCAACTTCGTCTTCGAGGTACCTGCAACACAGCGCCAACATCACAGGTTAGTATCTGGTTCATAACAGTGAGAGAGAGAGAGTTCTTCTTCTTGCTCTTCTCAGTCCACCATCTTCTTCTCTCCTTTTCAACTTCTGACTTCACTGCATCTGCAGACTACGAGAGAAGAGAGACAGAGTTTGGTGACATTGGATCCAGACTCGACTTTTGGGACTTCCGACATGGCAATGAGGGATTATTTGGGATTGGTGACGAAGACTTGGTGTTAACGACATTCCCATCTTTCTCCCTCCTTTCGTCTGATCCTTACCTCTTCGTCTGTGTATGTCTGGACCTRGCGCTTTCTTCCYGTGTACAGCGCCMGGCTCCTTCACACYTGGTGATGGATACGATGTATGTTTAGTCTGAGTTCAAGCATTGATTGGGCTAGTTAGTAGCATCCTAGCATTCTGCTTCGCTACTCTGTACTACGTGAATGAGGTCAGTCCCTGTCAGGTCAGTCTTTGTATCTAAGTCTTCCCTGCGCTTTTCAGCACCTTTTGTATGTATGAGAATGCACATTGTCTGTCGAGATTCCACTCGCACTACATTGTCCATTCAGTCCTTTTCATCACATTGCAGTTCCTCGGTTATTACATACATTCACATATTTGTGCATGTGACAGTTGGTATTGGAGCTTTGCACGTGAATCAGGACAACCTGATCTGACACGTGTGTGAGGACTAAAAAGCTAGTTAGTCTTTATCATGGCTACGATCCGGACGTCCAGACCACCGTCCAGACGGTCCGGATTCAGTCTGGACTCCAGACGTCCGGTCTGGAAGGTCCGGATCTGTCAAATTTCGAGGGGGAAAAAAAAAAAAAAACGGTCCAGGACCCTGCCCCATTGAGGAGACAAGCCCCCAAAATTGTTTTGGGGGTTTTTCAGGCCCGTTTATGCTTTTTTGAGGGGTCCAGACATGCTCTCTCTATATAATAATTTATTCGACAACCCCAATTCTTTAATTATTAATAATTTATTACCTTTTATTAGTTTTTGAAGGTTTTTTTTTTAACTTTTTTTAAGCTTTTTTATCGTTTTCGACTTCTAACTCAAGTTTGGTTTGGAATTCTGACATGACTCCGAGGCAAAAGTGGTTTGCATTGCTATTTTGTATAACATACTTTTTTCTCAGATTTTTTTATTTTTATTTTTTTTAACGGTCCGGACATTTTCCGGACCTGTCCAGGCGATCCCCCCATGTCCGGAGGTCCAGAAATGTCCGGAATTCTGGACGTCCAGAAACTACCGGACACGGGTCCGGTTCCATGTTCGGAAATGTCCGGGTCCGGGTCTGGCGTAGCCATGGTCTTTATTGATTGATTAGGACATACTAGTTAGACCCCAAAATCACGATCTTGTCCTTACTACCGAAAATCGAAATTTTTTCTTTTCTCGGATTTTATTTTCTCGCTATTCTGTTGTGGAAAATCGCAATATCGCAACATTTGAAATTCCCATTTCCGTTTTTCTGAAAATTCAAAATTTCGCTGTTGAAAATCCGGAATATTTTTCTTTTCGAAAATTTTGATTTCCTGTTGCATTTCCCGTTACTTAGAAATTCGGAATATTTTCTTTCCTGAAATTCGTTTTTCTGAAAACGGTACGGGAAATACCTCCTGCGGTATTATTCTTCAAATTGTGAATATTCTCATCGGAATAAATCCGAATACTTTTCATTTATGTTCGGAATTTTTCTTTCGCAGTTCTGGGATTCTGTCGTTCAGTCTATAAATCATCGACAGTCTAAAGTCAATTTTTTTTTCTCTTTCAGTGATCATTTCGCACTTCAAGGGAGGTTGGGGGACCTAGCGAACTTGCAAAAATCGGGATTTTTATTTTTGCAAAGTTCGAACTTTTCTGTTTTGATTAGTGGCTCCTTATCTAAGTGTGAGTTGGGCGATTATCCCACCCACCCCTCCCCACCTATGTTGTTGCCATCTCTCGCCTTTCCGTTTCTGTTGGTATTCGGGTACCCCTTGCGGCGGCATTGGTGAGTTGCCACGTCAGGAGGCCACGTCAGCGGACCACGTCAGCGGACCACGTCAGCAGGCCACGTCAGCAGGCCACGTCAGCGGACCACGTCAGCGGACCACGTCAGCAGGCCACGTCAGCAGGCTATGTCAGCAGGCCACGTCAGCTGTGCCACGTCAGCAGCAAGGGATACCACATCAACATGCCCCCGCTGCGGTCTATGCAGTTGCGATCTCAAACAGCAGTCATGGACCAGAGGCCCGGGGAAGCAGACGAGGCCTATCAGGCCCGCATGCTGGCTTGGAGTGCGGAGACTAAGAAACGGGCAGATGACGCTGCAGCAGCAGCGAAGAAGAAGGCAGAGGATCCCGAGCAGGCACGTCTATTGGCACTTGAACAACAACGCCAACATAACGAGGCAACAGCAAGGGCTGCCGATGAAGAAAGGAACCAGCGTCGCGAGAAGATATTTACCGGAGAGCGGGCGTTACTTACCATGGCAGTGGAATGGCGGACCGAGGCCGAGAATAGCCAGTTGGAGGATAGCGCAAACAAGATAGCGCTCCTCCTCTCGCATCTCACGGATCTCCTTGCAACCTGCATTACATAGCAGGCGGAGATCCTTGGTCTCGACAGCTCGCTGGCTCACGTTCAAGACCGCGTTAAGTGGTTGGAGCAGCGACCAGTCGCCGCCGCCGACGCAAGCTCTTCCAATACTGCCGACCGCCTCAATGCATTGGAGATGCGCGTCGGCTCCCTCCAGGACGGCGCACAGTTACAGCACACCGCGACGCAACAGTTGCAGCAACGGGTCTGTACCACCGCCAATACCTCGAGTACGGAGCCGCGCGAGACAACTCCAAAGTTTGACGGGCAGGAGATCTTCTGCGACTCGATGAAGACAGATCCGATTCCATGGTTCCGCAAGTTCGAGCTCACGCTGCAGCTGTCCAACGTCAAAGAACACAAGCACCACGCATACTTGTACTCTCGTTCWGGGGGCGCGTGCCAGGCTTGGTTGGACAACCTTCTGTCCAAGTATGGAGTAGTGGCAGCCGACTTGCACACCAAGATCAGTTGGGATAATGTGAAGGCGGCGTGGCACAAGCAGTTCCGGGTGGAGCCGCCAGAGATCAAAGCCATGGACAAGCTCATGGTCTTCGAACAAGGCACGCTGCCGAGTACGGACTGGATCGCCGAGTACCAACGCTTGACGTCAGTCCCGACATCCAGATGGGCTTCAAGGCCATCCGCCATTACTTCATCTCAAGGTCATGTCCGACATTAAGCAATGCCCTGACTCATGTCGAGGACACCTTGACGACGACGGCGGAGTTGTTCGACAAGGCTGCGCAGATCATTATCACGAACAAGGAGGCCAAGAACCTCCCTTCAGCTGCGTCAGGCCCGAGCAGGGACCAGCATCGGCCAAGAGTGGCCGTGGTCGCAGCGGCAGCGCCGTTGGACCAAATCAGCGAGGCTGTGTCTGCCAGTGAAGGGGACAGATTCGCATCCGCCCGGGAAGGTGGCCGCCCGGGCAGAGGCCGAGGACGCGGCAAGACGAAGACACACACCGCATCTAGGCCCGGGCCCGGTGCAGCAACTCAAACAGGCCCATGGACCCAGTATGGCATCTCTGAGTCCGCATTCAAGGCGCGCGAGAGATTCCACTATTGCCTTTGGTGCAACAACAATCTTCATCAGACGCAGGGTTGCCCATTAAAAGGCAAGGGCAGACAGGGAAACTGAGCACTGCCGAGAGTGACTCGACGACACTCTCGACGCCTTCGGAACCGGTTTCTTCGCGAGTAACCGGCCTTCATTCCGAGGCGCACGCGGAAGTCGATAGTCCTCTTCTACTTTCTTTTGAGGACTATGCTGCCCGGCTCATTCCTACGCTGGGTACTCAAGCTCAAGGACAAGGAGTGTGTGCGGTTTCTTCTCCGTCCGGCAACGACGACATATCGTCTTGAACTGGTTCATCACGGGATTCGGCGCGCGAGTTCAACATAGAGGCATTGGACCTGCTCACGTCTGAGGACTTTGCATGGCTCCCTCTCCCGACCACAGGCCGCTTACCGGGACCGCAATGCGCAGCACTTAGCGCCAATCTTCACACTTACTTATCCTTCTATGCACCACCAACTTCGCCGACGGATGACGAAGTCGCGGTGGGGGACATCGTGGCGTATACTACCAAGGTGGCCCGCGAGTTTCACACGCAGCGGTGCGATGACAACAACGCACCGCTCATGTATGTCCGCATTCAAGTTGGGCAAGCGTCCTGCAGAGCTTTGCTGGATAGCGGCGCGGCTTGCAACTTCATGAGCCAATTCTTTATGCAAAGGGCTGGCCTTGGCGCACAAGTTCGGAGGAAGGCAAACCGGACCGCGATCAAGTTGGCGGATGGAAAGACGCAACAACTTCTCGACCATTACATCGAGGCCGTACCGGTCTACTTCGCACCTCATGCATGCGAACCGGTGACATTCGATATTCTCGACACGGACTTCGACATCATTCTGGGAATGCCTTGGCTTGCAAGTGCGGATCACACGGTCAACTTCCATCGACGGACTCTTAGCGTTCGCGACGCCTTCGGTGCGGAAGTGGCGTGTACTATTTCTCTACCGCACTCTTCGATCCGGTGCCAAGTGGTGACGACCAAATCATTCCGGGCGATTTGCGCTTACGAGCAGCCCGAGAAGATCGGCCTATGTTTCCTACGGACCGTCGCAGTAGCCGACTCTTCACCCACACACTTGTCTTCGGACCCCCGTGTGGTGCGGTTGTTGGACGAGTTCGTTGACATCATCGAGTCACCTACCGGTGTTTTGCCGGATCGGCCGATCTCTCACGAGATCGTTCTTAAGGCCGGTGCTGAGCCGCCGAAAGGTTGCATCTATCGGATGAGCGAGGAGGAGCTTGAGGTCCTCCGCGCACAACTCGACGATTTGTTGGCCAAGGGCTGGATCCGCCCGAGCAGCTCCCCATATGGAGCACCAAATCTCCTCGTCAGGAAGAAGAACAAGGATCTACGATTGTGTATCGACTACCGCAAGCTCAACGCGCAAACCGTTAAGAATGCGGGGCCTCTTCCTCGCATCGATGATCTTCTTGAGCGACTGGGCGGCGCAAAGTATTTTTCAAAGTTGGATTTGAAATCGGGATATCATCAAATCTCGATCCAGCCGAACGATCGCTACAAGACCGCATTCAAGACGCGGTACGGGCATTTTGAGTGGGTGGTCATGCCTTTTGGCCTCACCAACGCCCCGGCGACCTTTCAGGCGGCGATGACCAATGAGTTTCGTGCAATGTTGGACCGGTTCGTGCTGGTCTACTTAGACGATATTCTCGTCTATAGCCAGTCATTGGAGGATAATCTTGGGCATCTTCGACGAGTGTTGGAGACGCTCCGCCGCGCCAAGTACAAGGCCAACCGCGACAAGTGTGAATTTGTCCGGCAAGAGCTGGAATACTTGGGCCATTTTGTCACACCGGAGGGCATCAGTCCGCTATCGGACAAGATTCAGGCCGTCCAGGAGTGGCTGGAGCCTCGGAACGTCACGGATGTCCGCTCATTCCTCGGTCTTACCGGCTACTATGAGCGCTTCATCAAAGGCTACTCGAAGATCGCGGCCCACATGAACAAGCTTCAGAGCGAGGATCGGCTTCGGAGAGGAGTCGCGGGGATCATTCTTCGCTCTCAAAGCCGCGCTATCGTCTACGGAGGTCTTGCGGATATAGGACCCGCTCGCGCCTACACGCGTCACTATGGATGCGTCAGGCTATGGCATTGGTGCAGTCCTCGAGCAACATGATGGTGTGGACTGACACCCGGTCGAGTACTTCAGCAAGAAAGTGCCCCTCGTGCATTCCATCGACGATGCACGCAAGAAGGAGCTCCTCGCCTTCGTCCACGCGCTCAAGCGGTGGCGGCACTTCCTCCTTGGTCGAAGCCAATTTTGCTGGGTAATGGACAACAATCCGTTGGTCTTCTACAAGACCCARGACACCGTCAACAGCACCATCGCTCAATGGATGGCTTTCATCGACCAGTTCGACTTCTTTCCCGATCACATTCCCGGGAAGTCGAACCATTTTGCGGATGCTCTTTCACGGCGTCCGGATCATTGTACCGCGGTCTACTCAACCTTCGAGATCGACGACGACCTGCAGAACAACTTCATCCACGGCTACCAAGCCGACCCCGAGTTTCGCGACAAGTACGCGAATTGCTCCTCTCCTAATCCGACTCCTTCTCACTACCGGATCCAAGAGGGGTACTTGCTTGTCCACACGCGGGGGAGGGACCTTCTTTGCGTACCGAGTGATCCTCACTTGCGTACAGGGCTTCTTGGCGAGTTCCACGACGCTCCCGCCACTGGACACTTCAGRGTCAATCGCACGATTGGCCGACTTCGCCAGCGATTTTGGTGGCCCGGCGTTCTCGGCGACCTCACGCGCTATTGCGAGTCATGCGAGGTTTGCCGACGCTGCAAATCCCGCAACCATCGTCCGTACGGCGAGTTACGACCATTGCCAGTCCCGTTGCAGCGAAGGGAAGCGATTGCCATGGACATTACCGGCCCGTTCCCCAAGAACAAGACCGGAGTGGATGGCATTCTCACGGTGGTCGACCAACTCACCAAGTTCGCCATGTTTTTGCCTTGTCGCTATCATGCCAAGGCACCRGAGTTAGCCGAGGTTCTGTACGCCGGTTGGATTCGAACCAAGGGTTACCCCAAGGAGATCGTCTGCGACCGCGACACTCGGTTCATGTCCAATTTTTGGTTGGCGCTTATCAAGCGATGGGGCTCATCTCTCAAGCCCAGTTCAGCTCGCCACCCTCAGACCGATGGCCAGACGGAGAGGGCGCATCAGACCGCACAGGTTCTCCTTCTCACTCTCATCCGCCCCGACCAGAAAGACTGGGTTGAGCGACTGCCGGACGTCGAGTTGGCCTACAACTCTTTCATCCACCCGGCTATTGGGATATCACCCTTCGAGTTCGAGCATGGCTCGCCGGTCACATCACCGTTGGATACTATTACTCCACGCACGACCGAGAGCGATGACCATGTTCTTTTCTTGCGTCGGATGCAAGAGCTTCTTGTCAAGGCACGCGACCAGATGGCTAAGACTCAGCAGCGCACGAGCCAGCAGGCCAATCGCCAGCGCCTTCCTTGTCCATTCCGCGCCGGGGACCTCGTCTGGGTTTCCGTCGCGGAATTCAGCCTTGAACAAGACGTCTCTCGCAAGCTCCTTCCGAAATGGATGGGGCCTTGGCCGATCATAGAGCCCACTGGGGACGCACCCGAAGGACCYTCCTTCACGATTCAGGTGCCCAGCCACGTGCCCGTCTACCCAGTCTTTCATTGCTCCAAATTGGCTCTCTACACGCCAGCGGACCATGACGATTTTCCCGGGAGACGTACGCAAGACCCGCCTTCTGTGGATGGTTTTCAGGAGGTCGGCGACATCATCTCCCAGCGACACTATGGCAACAAGCCAACTGAGTATTTGGTGCATTTTGTGTACTGCACACACCGAGCTAACCTATGGTTGACCCGTGCGGAACTTCAAACAACAGCTCCAGACGTTCTCGTACGCTACGAACGCAAGATGCAAGACAAGCCGGTTTCTTCGGCTCCACGCCGCGCCTGCGTCCAGGTTCCACCTTCAGATCGACGGCTTCGCCCTCGCCCCGACTTGACTTCATAAGGAGGGGGGGGTGTTACATGCTGCGCGTGCACACGCAAGCCATTTTGCAAGCCTGCGTCCTTCAGGCCGAAAGCCTGAAATCCAGGGCTTACAAGCCCCATGTCGGTTCAGCCCGAAAGCCTGAATTCCAGGGCCTATCCCTGTGTCGTTTCAGACTAAAAATGGCAACAGCCTTTTTTGCCTGAAACGAAGGGCTATTATCGGTCGTTCATCAGAACGACCGGCCCTGAAACTCGGGCATCGAACCAGGGTTTCGGGAACAGACTATTATTAGTTTGTTTCCCACGCCAGCCTCAGCAGGCTGCTGCACGCCAGCCCCTGGCACACTTCGGCATTGGCAAGAGCTGCCTCCTCGGCCTGACTCGCCCTCCAGTAGTCAGGAGGCAGGCCGAGGTAGTACATAGGACTTCCCAGGCACTTCCGAGGTAGGCAGTCGGCAGTTGTAGTCTTCAGGATTCGGGAGCAGCACTCTGGAGGGAGCGCTGCAGTGTAGTAGTAGTAGCGTTAGCCTGTAGTCTTCAGCGCTGGGCGCAATAGGTAGCTGTAGTCTCCAGCGCTAGGCGCCATAGCTAGGTAGTACTAGAGAGAGAGAGAGAGCTTGGGCGGAGGCCAGAGGTACCTACCTGCAGCGCCGTTGCTCCAGCTTCGTCTTCGAGGTACCTGCAGCACAGCGCCAACATCACAGGTTGGTATCTGGTTCATAACAGTGAGAGAGAGAGTTCTTCTTCTTCCTCTTCTCAGTCCACCATCTTCTTCTCTCCCTCTCAACTTCTGACTTCACTACATCTGCAGACTACGAGAGAAGAGAGACAGAGTTTGGTGACATTGGATCCAGACTCGACTTTTGGGACTTCCGACATGGCAATGAGGGATTATTTGGGATTGGTGACGAAGACTTGGTGTTAACGACATTCCCATCTTTCTCCCTCCTTTCGTCTGATCCTTACCTCTTCGTCTGTGTATGTCTGGACCTRGCGCTTTCTTCCYGTGTACAGCGCCMGGCTCCTTCACACYTGGTGATGGATACGATGTATGTTTAGTCTGAGTTCAAGCATTGATTGGGCTAGTTAGTAGCATCCTAGCATTCTGCTTCGCTACTCTGTACTACGTGAATGAGGTCAGTCCCTGTCAGGTCAGTCTTTGTATCTAAGTCTTCCCTGMGCTTTTCAGCACCTTTTGTATGTATGAGAATGCACATTGTCTGTCGAGATTCTACTCGCACTACATTGTCCATTCAGTCCTTTTCATCACATTGCAGTTCCTCGGTTATTACATACATTCACATATTTGTGCATGTAACATACTCACACTGCCTTCTTCCCCCGAATACAAAGTTCGGTCGTTATAGCTGTATTTGAGGTATCTTTCCGTCCAGATACAACTATAATGACCGTACGTTGCATTCGAGGGAAGATCGTAGGACTTTTCTGGATGTATCTAACGGCACTGATGCCTGGAATCACGCCCGTAGCTGAGTCTAGAAGGGTCTTAGGGCGTCGCTGCACTACTCCAGAAATGCACAAAAGACAAAAATCTCGGCGATGTATCTTTACTTGTTCTAGGGGAATATTCACTCTCGTTTTGCACATTTCGAGAGTGGCGAGAGTGGTGGAGCGAGGCCCATTGTCAGGAGTATCCGTTGCCCAAAAACGGAGCCACGCCCCATGAGGATGTCACGGACGTTCACTCTTTTTTTTTTTTTTTTAGCAAAAGCACCAAGGAAACACAACTGTCAGTTCTGTCGTTTTCTATATCTGGAAGTAATGAGAGGAAAGCAACGGTTCCACAGACGTGTCCTCATCATGACTGTATTGGACCTCTGAAAGGACTCGGATACACTGAAGATAGCATGGAGTTGTGTACAGCAAACATGACAGCACACCGAGCTTTTGGGGCAGCGCGGCCCTGAAAAAAATTTGCGCGGGCGATGTCCAAATTTTGTCTGGGCGTGGGAACTTCGATTCACCCTCTCCCCAACTTTTTTTTTTTTTTGGTTGACCCCGAATTTTGCCCATGCGGCGCACCGGATGCGCGCGCCACTTGCGCAATGTGCAGTGCGCCGCATGTGCGCGGGTGGCGTGCACGGGACGCGCCCCAAGTATGGAGAAAACATTTTTAGAGCCTTTTCAAAAATATAATCCAGGAGCCCTTTGGCTCGGAACTCCTTCCGTACGGTCAAGACCTGCTTCGGGATGCTGGTTCGGATGGTCGTGTTCCGGTCTATCCGGTGGAACCATCTGGTTATCGCGGCAGACTTATGTTTCCGGCTGGACCATGACAAAGAATCCTGGCCTGTTCGAAAAATAATGTCTCCGGTAGTCCACAGTGTACTCTCATTCTTAGTATGTTGAATGCTACCCAGATACGGGAAATTGGGTCTGACCTGCATTTTGCAGCCCAGAAAATCTCAGGTGCCCGTTTTCTTGTCCGTTCACTTCAAGGTAAGTGTTCTGGGATAGCATCTCTCAAATCTCTTCCCGATTCGATTTGCCTTACCAATAGACTCCTGCTCACCCTTCTTGTAGGCTAGGAACAGTGAGACATCATCCATGAGTCTTACCCTGAATACTAGCTTCCTGTCTGTCCCCAAAGTGACCAGAAAATGCCACTCAGCATGC